AGTTGGGGGAAACTGAGTCATAGAGAGGGGCCGTGAATCCCACCCCCACATCTCTATCCCCATCTCCCTGCTGGAGGGGAAAGAACCCAGGAGTCCGGCTGCGCCCAGCCCCGGGGTTTCTACTCCTAGAGGCTCCACGGGCACTAGGGATGCTGATTGACCCCTACGTTTACCCCCCCGGGGGCTTTCTCTGTAGGGCCCAGCCTGGGGGGCAGCGAAGGAGACATGGACAGGCTGCGCCGCACGTTGGCGCTGGGTGAGTATGGGCAGGGCTGGGGGGGCAGAGTCAGTCCATGCACGAGTAGAACCCAGCGTCCGGGATGCACACGCACACGAGCACACACACACACACACACACACACACACACACACACACACAGATCCCAGGTGTCCGGGGGATGGATACACAGACACACACACACACACGCAAACACACGCACACACAGAACCCAGGTGTCCAAGACACACACCAGGACTCCGGTGCTTGTGTGTGTGCACATGTGAATGTGTGTGTGGTGTGCATCTGTCGTCTGAGATGCCCCCCGTCCCTACACACAAATACACACCCCGGGCATCCAGGACACACACACACACACACACACACACACACATCTGGGATACACATGGACACGTGCAGACCCCAGGCGCCTGGGATATCCCCCCAATCCATACCCTGCTTCACGCACCCTGCAGAGCGGGGGGGGAGGGGGCTGCATTGCCTGGGGGCTCCCCCTGCCCTGGGCCAGCCCGTGACCCCCAGTTGGGCCCGGCTTGGCCCTGAGCCCACTGCCTCCGGAGGCCTGGCATGACACGAGTGCGCCAGGTCTCAGCCACCCCCTGCGGCCCCGGGTCTTGTCCTGGGTGCCAGCGGTGCCCCCCACCATGCCAGGGTGACATGTGGGGCTGAGCAGATGGGGGCTGGGGGGCTTCAGGACCCCCTGACCCCTGGTGCTTGTAGCCCTGCAGGTGCTGTGTGTGGGCATCACTGCTGGTACAGGTAGGTCCCGCGGAGGGGGAGGCCGGACTCTGGTGGGAGGGGTGGGGGTGGCAGATGGCAGACCTGGGG